CTTAATTGCTATCTCTAGCAGAAGTTTTAACTCTTTCTAGTCAGGATTTGCCAGAAACCTTACCAAGGATCTTATCTTTTCCTGCCTGTCCCCTAATTTTCCCTTCACTCCCACATCCCCTGAAAAGCTCAAGGTCAGGCCAGGAAAGACACAGGGCCTACATTCTTTGGTGGAAGGCCAGGTTCAGCAGGTCTGGCTTTTGGAAGTGGCTGGATCTGAAGGTGATGGCACCAAGTCCAGAAGTCTGCTCGAGCACCTGCCTGGCTGCCAACATCTGGAGGAAGCCAGTGGACTGATGGCTACCCTGTTCACCAGTGTGAGTGGGGATGAGTTTCAGGGTGGGCAGTTGCCAATGACTGCGGATTATAGATAGGGGACCTCTGCAGTAGAGGGGTCACTTCACAGAGCCACAGGCTATAAAGCTGCATGGAGAGGACTGCAGCCTGCTGGAGTCCAAAGACTTGCGGTGGTCCTGGAAGGGAACCACTTATCTGGAAATACATACGATTTTTCTTTTGACTTATTTTTCCTCCTTTGGTTTTTTGATGGATTTTGGAGTTTCATCTCCCATTTTCTTTCTCTTATTTTTTAAGAAAATTAATATTATCTTTGTTTCACTAGTCCTCTTTATTCTTTTAATTTTGTTCCTTATTATTTTTCTTTTTTCCTTTAGTCTCTATTTTTAAATTTTTATCCTTCTCCTTTTTTGTTACTTTTATCTGATGCTAATTTCCTTTTACTCCTTAATTCAGGTTCCTAATTCCCACTACCTCTATGCTTACAAATATAACTCTTAAATTTTAAGAATCTGTAGATAGTTAAATATATCTTACTACCCATGAAAACGATTCTATTGTTCATGGAGATAAAACTGTTTTTTTTTTTTTTAGTAGATATTTATTGGAGATCAATATGTGGTTGGTCTTAGTATTTATACTATAATTGTAGATGTCTTTTCTATGGTTGAGGGTGGTACATTATTGGTTCTTAAGATCTGTCAATATGTAGTAGTATTTGATACACTTCTTGATTTTACTAAATAATTTAGCTAAGGTGACACAGTTGTTGATATCAGCTGGTTTTTTCTGTATGCCATTATGTAAATTGCAGTTTTTTTTTTTTTTTTTTTTTTTTTTTGTACACGGGATTGAACTTGGGTCCTTGTGCTTGCAAGGTAAGTGGCTGAACCATTGAGCTAAATCCCTGGCCCCTCACTGCCCATTCTTGCAACTGGGCCAAATAAGCTGCAACCTCCCCTCCCAAGTAAATGGAGGTGTCTGGATTTGGGGACAGAGGCAAAGGCCAATACTTAGCTATCCCCACAGGGCAGCTCTGAAAAGCGGACATTAACTAAAGTGGTCTCTATACTAGCAACAGAGCTCCCCGAGGTAATTAATCTATAAGCTTTAACACAAGACAAGCAAACAAAAATAGAAACATCAGAAAACAAAGCAATAAAATGCCCTCAAAATTCCCAAATGCAACTTGAGCATGGCCAAGGCCAAAGAGGGAGGAGCCCCAGGGCCCACCCCAGCCCGCCAGTAGCCAAGCCTCTCTCTTCTTGCTCAGTAACAACTCCCTGGATGGGGCCCTCAGCCTGGGACTCCCTGGGCTGTGTGCCAAGCCTGCGTCCCAGGGCTGGCTCAGCTCCACCAGAGGGCTTGAGTCTCGTCCCACTGCTGCTCCCTTGAGTTCCTGGAAGACACAGTGGGCTACATGTCCATACAGAAAACCAAACATGTGTCTAGGTCACCTAGAAACCATGGCCTGAAGACCCACCTCATCAAGAATAGGAGGCAGAATGACAGAGGAACAGCAGGATCGTGCTCATCTGTGCCAAGGGGTCCCTGTGCACAACCTTCTCAGTCCTGCCCTAAGGAGAAGACCTGCCTGTGGATCAGTGACCTAAGGGTACTCGGCCAGAAGCAGAGGCATCTGTCTGGTGGCTTATCTGTTCTTCTGAGTTGGTCTCTGAATTGGAAGACACTGAACTGGGAGCAGATCAAAAGGTTGTCTCTTACCCAAAGTTCCTGTACCCTACCAATGCCCTGTCACAACAGTGATGCCATGGCCTGCTGCCCCAGCCTTGTCCCAGCATCCCTGGGGTGATGCCAGGGTCGAGACACAAACCTGCCATTGCCAAGGCACCATGGGTACGGAACTAGAAAGTGATGGGGGAGACACCCTGGAGTACAACCCCAACCTCCTGGATGACCCACAGTGGCCCTGTGGAAAGCACAAATGTGTCCTCACCTTTGTCATCATACATGAGCACAGTGATAGAGTACGTGAAGCCCTCGGACCTCAAGAAGGACATGAACGAGACCTTCAAAGTTTCCACACATCACACTGACACTACAAAATCTGGAGTTTGAAGCAGGAAATGTGGAGCCTGTATGAAGAGTGCAGCCTAGAGCCTGTAACTGTGTCCATGGCCTATGTATACTTTGAGAAGCTCTTACGGCAGGGCAAGCTCAACAAATAGAACTGCAAGCTGGGCACTGGTGCCTGCATGCTACTCGCTGCCAAGATCAGCAGTGACCTCTGCAAGAATGAAGTGAAGCAACTTCTGAAAAGCTGGAAGAAAATTCTGATTCAACAGGAGATTTCACTGGGATTGAGTTCATAGTGCTCATGGCTTTGGAACTGGCCTTTTATCTTCCAAAGAACCAAGTGTTATCTCACTACAGATGCTTCGCACAGTTCTAGCCAGGCCACAGGCTTGCAGGAAGTTAATCAGCAGGAAGTGGTGTCCCTTGGCCCCAACACTGAGGCCTCCAGCATCTATGTGTCCATCCCACCTTGACCACCACCCTCCTCTACATCTGAGCTTCATAGCCAGTGCACCGCATTTCTTTAATCTGTGTTTCCTTAGAAAGAGATATTGCTTTTGTCCAAAGTGCACCACACCTCCAAGGGTATATCTGAGAATTTTTCTGGAGCTTTAGCTAAACACATGCCCTGCCTTGGAGGCAGCTGATTATGGACTGAAACCTCACAAACTGTGAGTAAAACAAACCTTTTTTCCTTTAATTTTGAGTGTTGGATATTTTGTCTCAGGAATTAAAAAGTAACTAAGACAGGAAAGCCTTTTCAAATGTAAAGGGGAACGAGATGGAAGGAGGGAGGAAGGGGAAAGGGATAAAAAGAGAACTGAAGAAAATGGAGGGAGCAGGGAGAGATGGGAGGATAAGGGGAAAAAAGAATACTTTGTACATGTACAAATTAACCAGGATTAATGTAATCATTAGGTTCTGCAAGCATGTACTAATAAAAAAGAAAAATAATTGTGTCACATAACACTATATTGTGTTCAAAGAACAAAAAGTTAATTATGAAGTAAGACTGAGGGCCATCACAGAAGAGAAGTCTGTGACTCACAGAAGACAAAAGGCAGAAGGCACCAAGCAAGCGAGCTAAAAATGACAAAGGACCACACTAACACTCTTTCTGTCCCTTATATTTTTATCCTCCTAAGAGCGGGTAGCACTCATACCTAGGGTGGGTCATCCTCAGTCCTACCCAGAGTTATGCCAAACCAATCAGTAGACTAATTTGCTAATCACACATCCTGAATCCCAGCATCACACACTCTAGTTCCAGCCACCTCTGAAAAAGCCCACCTATGACCACATGAGGCTTTGGGTGGCTATCTAGACACAAGCCATAACATCTCCCTACTTCCTATTATGTTATTTTGTTCTTTCTTTTTATTTTGAGTTTCTCATGTAAGAAAAACCATGTGGTAATTAAAGCTGTTTGATTTATTTCACTTAACATTATAGCACATCCATTTACGTACAAATGCCTCGTTTATCTTTTCATGGCACTGTGTATAAATACATTTTATTTATCCATGCATTTGTTGATGAGCATATAGGTTGTTTCCAGGATTTCGTTATTATAAAATGTGCTACTATAAATATGGGTATGCATATATCACTGTAATATGATGATTTTTCATTATTTAGGGAGGATAACTAGAAGGGAAATAGCTAGGATGAATTAAATTTCTATCTTTAGTTTTTTGAGGAACCTCCATACTGATCTTGTAATCCCAAACCTGATGGTCATATAAATACTTTCCTGCTTCCCAAAAAGCCTTGGAAAGTGGTACCTGAGACATTAAAATGTCCGCCTCTCCCCAAGTTGCTAGTATTGTCAATAAAGCCTCTTTCTCCCAATACTCCTCTCAGGCACTGGTTTTCATGCAGAGCGAGAGTGGGTTCAGTAACAAATCATCAAACGGAAATATAAACCTTCTCAAATAAACTCTATGAGCTGACTGCCATCATATTTCATGAAAGCCATTTTTTTTTCTTTTTACCTTATAGAACTAACTGCACTATTAACAAATTATGGGGCTGGAAATACCTGGAATTTATTTGCAGTGAGGAGGCACGAAGCTGGACTTAAACCAATCCTGGCTTAATTCCTGCCGATATTATGCACCACTGGTTCTTATCTGATGTAGACTGTAAACTGAGGAGCAACAATGAATAATATAACTTTAGTAGTAAAACCCAGTAAAGTCAGAAGGTAGAGTGATACTTTTATGTCACTCCCACTTAGGTAAAGGGATATATCTCGCTATTCACCTTAAACATAGACTTTTGCTCCTAGCTGTGTGGAGTAACAGGGAATACACTTACCTCTCTGCCTAAAACACTGAAATCCAGAAATACCTTTTCAGCATCGGTCAGCAGGCAATATAAGGGCTATGACCCCTATAACTGCTCCAGATGGGGGAAGTTTCCAGAAGCACTGGAAGCAGGGTCGTCACTGCTTTCACTATATGGGGCGACCTGCGTCGACTTACGTGAACACTTACAAATAACAGCTTCAACTGCTTACAGACGCAGAAGCGAAACAGAATTCTCGGGGCTGGCAGGCAGCGGCAGAACCAATCACGAGGCCCAGCCAGTTATCGCGAGGTTATGAGATCTGCGGTGTGACGTCACCGCCCCGAGACGCTTGCGAGGGTCTCTGTGATTGGCCGCTCCCCCGAAGCGCGCCTCCTAACGTCACCTCGCCGCACACTGGCGAGACCTGCGGTCTTCGGCATCCGGGCTCTTCCTCACTAGTGCGTCTCAGAGAGGAAAACAGACATTTTTCCCGCTGCTAGGGGGAGCGGCCTGGACTGGTTGGAGCGGACTCCTCTCCCTCGAACCTGTAGCCTCATCGTTCCTGGCCACGCCCCGGGAGACCCGGACCAGTGCCTGACGCTGCGCGAGGACACCGAGGCGACGCAGGTGATGGCGGAGACCGGTGAGGGGAGCGAGGAGTCGCCGCAGCTGTCGGAGGAGGCGGGCGTCCCCGGCCGCGCTCCCCAGTCCTTGCTCGGCGGGGATCGCGATCGCGCAGAGCCCGAGGGTCTGCAGAGGGAGGCGCCGCCTTCCCCTGGAGGCCCAGACGCAGTCGCAGAGGTGCTGGCCGCAGACAGCAGCCTGCAGACTGGCGCTCAGGATGGGGAGGAGGCCCTGGAAACCTGGGGCACAGAGACGACCGCGTCGGAGGTGACGGGGAAAGGCAAGGGCGAGGAAGCAGAGGCTGAAAAGTGCGTCATCGATTCAGTAGCGGTGGAAGAAGAGGTGGGGTCTGGAGTGGTGATGGCGGAGAGCCTGGAGGAGGAGGCGGTGGTGCAGAAGGAGTCGCCAGGAGGTGAGGAGATGGAAATGGCGGAGGGAGACAGAGTGATGGGGGCGGCGAAGGAGCCAGGGCCCTGGCCCTTGAATATGAATCTGCGCATGGATCCTCTGGAGGCCATCCAGCTGGAACTGGACACTGTAAATGCTCAGGCGGACAGGGCCTTCCAGCAGCTGGAGCAGAAGTTCGGGCGCATGCGTCGCCATTACCTGGAGCGAAGGAACTACATCATTCAGAGTATCCCGGGCTTCTGGATGACCGCATTTAGGAACCATCCCCAGCTGTCTCCCATGGTTAGGGGCCAAGACGCCGACATGTTAAGGTATGTAACCAATTTGGAGGTGAAGGAGCTCCGACATCCTAGAACGGGCTGCAAGTTCAAGTTCTTCTTTAGAAGAAATCCCTACTTCAGAAACAAGCTAATCGTCAAGGAGTATGAGGTCAGATCTTCGGGGCGAGTGGTGTCTCTTTCCACGCCAATCGTATGGCGTAGGGGACATGAACCCCAGACCTTCATTCACAGAAACCAAGACCTCATCTGCAGCTTCTTTACCTGGTTTTCAGACCACAGCCTTCCAGAGTCTGACAGAATTGCTGAGATTATCAAAGAGGATCTGTGGCCGAATCCCTTGCAGTACTACCTGTTGCGTGAAGGCATCCGCAGAGTCAGGCGTCGACCAGTGAGAGAGCCAGTCGAGATCCCGAGGCCCTTTGGTTTCCAGTCCGGTTAACTTCTACCTTAGGTAATCCTGCTGCTCAAATTCCCCTCCCATGTCCTGCTGGTCTTAAGCTTGGACAAAAGCAACGGTATGCCATTTTTTGTTTCTTGACTGAACTGTCTGTGTTCTCTCTCCTCTGAATATTCAGTTCTTTCAACCGCAAGATCAAGACTTACGGACATGCTTCTTGAAATTAATACTTGGCTCTCATGCTCTTCTATGTTAATATCCCATGCTGCATGGCAACAGTTCACACTACTTCGAAGACAAGTCAGTGATGTTGTAAATTGCATTACCTTTACTCTGTGTAGACGCTGATATTTTGAGAGCCTCTGATTTTTACTACCGCTTGGATTTCTAGCTTGTCTTGGAGCCTAGTCTGCTCATCCTTCTCTGCATCCAACTGTTTAGGAACTCGGTCTGTGGATAATTACTGGGCATTAATGATGCCAAGGGAGCGTGACAATGGACCAATTTTTCTGTGATTTCTGCTACTTTGTGACTTCGCCTGTACCACTTGTTACCTTCGGATGTCGCCAGCTATTCGCTATGCCAGCTCCTTTTGAGTGTTGCCAACGACTCTTATCTCCCACATTAACGTTTTTCTCCTATTAACAAGAAAAACTTTTTAAAAAAAATTTTAGAAACATCTGAAAAAGTAGGCATTTGTTGTTTTGGCTCTTATTTCCAGAATAGAGAGGTTACCATATAAGATAGACTTAGAAGATCTGATTGCTCTCACCCCTTCCTTCATGACTCCTTATCCTCTTAAGAGGTGTAGAGGGTGCAAAGGGAGGCATATTTACTTGGAAAGAAAGGCAACATCTGCTTTAATCAGTGGAACAAACAGGCTATGATGGGTGCTCTAAGTTGGGGAAACTGAGCAAAAGATTAGAGGCAGAAATGAGCCAGGTAGAAATTGGGTTGAGAATGAAGACTGGGCTGACAGAGCTATCAATTTTATTCTATCAATGGTAATGGGAGGAGATATTTTCTCAGGTTTGAAATAGAAAAATTGCAGGGATTTTGGAGTGTTAAATATGTTGCCTGGAAAGGGTTCTTTATAAAGAAACTAATTTTGAATGCTTTTCTTGTTTTATGTTATGTGAACTACATGGAAGATTAATATTGTACTGTTATTTCATTATTACTAGTTATTTTCAGTTAATGCTTGCTGGGAAAATTCAGCTGTATAGCTTGTTTTCTTTGTTTCTTTTTTTAGCATTTGCTTGGGAACATTTGGAAATAACAGTTGTACTTTCCTGTATGGTATTGAGACTTAAGCAAATATTCTTAAGAGTTTTCAGCTTGTTCTTCTTTCTGTTAAGCTGTATTTGCAGTAACATAGTTTGGACAACTTGATCTTTATCAAACTTGTCAAATTATTGTCTTCATGGAAAAATAATTCACAAAAATATGTGGCTTGATTGATTTTCTTAATATGTCTCTTCCTTAATTGCATTAAGTACTTGTGAGATTACTGTGTTAAACTAGAAATTTACCACTGGCATATTTTTCTTTATTTATGATGGTAGAATAAAAGCATGTGACTCTGCTAGATTTACTGTCTCCAAATGTGCTTTAATGAAATTGCTCATACAATTTTTTCAGTTTGGTAATGACAGATTTTGGACTCATTAACCACTTACCAGTCCAATTATTTAAATACAGGATGACCAAAAATTGCATATTTTTTGTTAATTTTTATAATATAACAAGGAATATAAAAATGACAATTTCATCAAATTTATTCCATACAAGAATCCACTAGTTGAAATAACACCTGCCCGTCCCACTGATGCTAGGGATAATATGTAGACAAACACACTGCCTGAGTGAAGCTCGGGGTAAACTCCTAGTGCTTAAATTTCTTAAATGGGCACAATGGCCATTGTTCCAAAAGTGAGAAAATAGCACAGTACTATATTTTCCATTTTGCTTTAAAATATTAACATATGCAACTGCTTATTCACGATGTCAGATTTTTCCATATACTTGTGCAGCCCCATCATCTTTCCTCATATTCTTTATTTCTGTATTCATAAATGATATCCTTAGGTCATTTAGGCTGTCTTTTTATTCACTTCTACATTTAATAAACATCCATGGAATACCTACCATATGTGATGTACTATTCCCACTACCTTATAGGGTATTCATAAATTATTAAAGTGTTGTAGGAACAAATGAGCAAAATAGTTTCTTTTGCTTGCACCTTGACCCTTGGGAAAATGGGAAGCACACGAGGATTGTCACTTTGTAATATGCAACTGGAAAAACAGATACTGGTTTTCTTTACTCTGAACTTCCTCACTACTCTTCTGTCATATCCTTCAAGACCTGTCCTGGTAACCACCTTGTAATTTTTTTGTTCCCATTGGGAATATGAAATTATTTTTAAAAATGTAGTCAGTGCACTTTGTTGATAATTTATGTTCTAGAAAATAATCCAATTATTTATTATAGAAAATTCCACCACTTGTTATTAAGGGATTCTATTAGGCCCTGAGAGACAAAAAGAATGAATAAATTCCCTTCACTGAAGTGGAGAAGAACTGATAGGCAAACAAATAATACAGAGTGACACAGTAAAATAGAGATAAAAATTTTCTACATTTTCACTCTTCCTTACTAGTTTGGAAGCTTTGCTGATGTAGAGACAGTGACTTTTTCCATACTCAAAAGTACCTAGCATAATGTTTTGCATGTAGTTGTTAGCAGATAATCAGTGACAGAATTAACAACTCAGATAGGGAAGAACAAAATAATCCAGTGCTCAGAAATACTTGGTAAAAATACTGTTTTGTAAAGATAATGTCAAAAAGATTTGCAAAGCGATTGTAAATAATGAAATTTCCCATTTTACTATTAGAAAAGGTTCAGACATTTTAATAATTCACCTGCCATTTTAACATTACTTTGGATCAACTTTTTAGTAACTTTTGGGGGTACTTTTTAAGTTAACTATTACATTGGTGATAAGAGGTTAGTCTCTAGACATATGCCATCCAACACAGTGGGAGCCTTGTGTGGCTATTGAGACCACTTGAAATGTGGCTGGTCTAAAGTAAGAAAGGCTGTAAATGTAAAATACTAGATTTTGAAGACCATGGAAAAAATAAATATCTCAATTTTTTTCATGTAGATTGCATATTGAAATGATACTTTTGACATTGGATTAAATATATCAATAAAATCAGTTTTTCCATTGTTTAATGTGACTACTAATAATTACTCAGGACAGCCTGGCTCTCAGCCTCAGGGAAACAGCCCTGAGCTGTGACCTCTGTGGTTACTTATTTGTGACCCACAGACATGAGAAGAAAGGTAGAAGAAAAGCACTTTGCTACACATTTTCTAGGAGTTTTTGTGGGGAGCAGGTCTAGAATGGGATGGTTTGTATGTAACACATGTGGACCTAGATTAGGCAATCTCACCAGGGCAGAGGGAACACAGTGGCCATAGCACCCATTTCTGAAAGTAACTTTTAATTCTGCTGACTGTTGTCCTGCAGATTCTGCTCTGAACTCTTATCTGTGCATTCCAAGAGTGTGAGGACTTTTCATTCCCCAAGGTCCCTTCCCTAACACAATGAGGTTCATTTGGCCAGACTCTCCCCACACTATTATTTTCTCACAGTGAGTTTGTGTGTGTGTGTGTGTGTGTGTGTGTGTGTGTGTGAGTGCGTGCGCGCACGCGTATATGTGACTCCTAAGGATTATCTGCTAAAATTCAAAATGGATAAAGTAGAGAGAAAAACCGATGGGTAGAAAGAGGACAAAGTGTAATAAACTTGAATACCTAAGATATACTAAATAGTTTGCAAAGTGTACTGTGCAACACACTTTCTAAATATAGGTAGGGTAGATTTGAATTCTAAAGTGTAGGAGCCACTCAGGGAGTTTGTGGGGGGGGATTTAAAGACAAAAGACACAAAGGTAATTTGGAAGAGGAGGACCCGGTGACTTGTGCCTCTAGTGGACAAAGAGCCCCACACTGATAGTGCTCTTCACTTTTAATGAAGAAGCAAGCCAGATCTAGGGTTCAGGGAAAGTTTATCAGCTTATCATAATTTACAGGTTACACCCAAATGTTTATGTTATTTAAGCAGACTTCAGCTGTAGTTGATTTTCTCCTTGGAACTTGGCTGGTGCCTGCTCGCTGGTGCACAGCCAGGGGTGGGATGGGGTGGGTGTGGGGGTGTGCAGGGTCAGGGGCCTTGCTATCTCTTCCCCTGTGGTTCAAGGGGAGTTCAACCCAAGCCTTGGACTTTACACCTGGTTTCCCACACTAAAGTGATGGTTATATTAAATTTCTGACAATACTTAAGACCTTTTTATATTTGTATTTTTCTAAAATAAAGTGGCTGTCTGATTTACCAGAGATACATAAAGCCTAGAAAATATTTTCAGTCATTGGATAAACCGTTTTATATATGTAACATTTTACCCATTACCTAGCAACAGAAAGAAAATAATCTGAGTCTAGCATTGCATCATGTCAATTCAGTGAATTCAACCTATTCATTGAAAGGAATATACTTTATTTTTCAAAGTCCTTCTGTGGTGGCGATTGTTTTTTTCTTGTTGCATTACTGGGGGTTGAACCCAAGGCATTTACACTGAACTACATCCCTATCCTTTATATATTAGTTTTTGATTTTGACATATTTCTTATCAGATTGCTGAGACTGGGCTTGAACTTGGCGAACCTTCTGCTTCAGCCTCCCAGAGTGAAAGTACTACAGGGGTGTGCTGGATAATTGTGGTAATCTTAACAGTAATCATTGTTTACTGGGTACTATCATAAGGATTAAATGGGCTATTAAACACTGTCCTTGCTCTTGAGGAATTCATGCTTACTGAAGGTAGGGAGAACCATTTATTTGATGTTTTCTTTTTCCAGCAATCGTGCACATGGACACCATCCATCACCCCCAAGCAAACTCAGAGGAGACCAACCTGGCCAAGAGGGGATGATTAAGTCTACTCATCCCAGGGCCAGCTTCCCCTGTCTCAGTATTCATTTAAGTACGAGGCTCTGTAGAAGTGACAGGTATACCCTGTTAGTAGTAAGCTATTAGTCTTGATAAATACCCAGATGTCTTAGAAATGGCATTTTCTACATATCTTAGAAATGGCTTTTGGATGGGAAGACACTAGTTTTAAATTAGGTTTAAATCCCTGTTTTAGAATTACTATGTAGAGCATTAGCCAAAATAAGTAACTTCTCTGAGCTTCATTCAGTTTGCTTAGCGTAATGTAGACGTGATAGTGGGCATGACATTGGGAGAGCACATAGGGTTGTAGAAAGAGTAAATGTGCATGGCTGAAAGATTCCAAGGCTGGACTGGAAAATCCAAACCAGTGCCTGGGATACAATATGTAATCAGTAGTATCTCCACATATATTCCTCTAAATTGTAATATCTCATTTAATTTCTATCCAGACAAGTGTACATCTAATTTAATGATTCTCAAACCTGGCTTCTCTTTACATTTTGGAACATTAAATCGCCCACAAGACATTCTTTGAGACTTACTCAGCTCCAGTCTGCTCCTCTCCATTATTCTAAAGCAGTGTGGTCACAGATAATCTCCAGATTACCAGCATTAGTGCCATCTCCATCTTGGAAAAATGAGATTTTCAGGCCCCATGCCTACCCTGCTGACACAGAAACTCTGGAAGTGGGGCCGCTTGACCATATCTCATCACATTCGAGGTGATTCTGACCTATGCAGTGTTGAAACCACTGCCCTAATCTTGCTACTTTTGCCTCATCTCTAGTTTCAGTAGCCTGAATTAAGCTTTTGTTATAAAAAATAAAATCAGACATTTATATGTGCTCTTAGAAGTCCCAATTTGCACTCAGATATTAGGGCTTGAGGGTATAGCTTATTGGTAGAGTATGTGCTTAGCATGATCACCACCCTGGATTGGATCCCCAGCGAACGTACATACACACACACACACACACACACATACACACACACACACACGCCAACACTATTTTGTGTCAGGTACATCCTGCTGCATAATCTTTTAAGTAATTTACTTGATATATAGCAAGACCTTTATATATGCTTTCATTTTGTGATTCCATAGTTTATATATCACTATCCCCGTTTACTAGACAAGGAAACAGAAGCACAGCAAATGCTGATTTCCCCAAGACAGGAGTCATTTTGGCTGCATTCAGAGTTTTTCATTTCAAGACACCTTGTACTAAACTGCAGCAGCTTGTAACTAGTTTTCCATTTAAAAATCTAAAATCCTACATAAGTATAAACAGTTTGGCCTTAGTGAAGGTAATTCTTCATCCATTCAAGAATGGCTTCTAAATTTGTCTTTATAAAGACAATACAGGATCTTCAGACCCTACCAGATTAGAACCATTTTCAATATGTAAAAGTATAATTTTTGATACTGCCTGAATTAAAATTGCTTGATTGTACTTTCCCTCAGAACAGAATAGGCTGATTAGTTCAAATATTTTAATATTCTCGTGGAATTTGACTGCTCAGATATAA